TTTTAATTCCTTCATGGTCAGAAAACATATTTTGTATGATTTTAAGTCTTTTAAATTTGGTGAGGTCTCATTTAGATCCAGGATATTGTCCATCTCGGTGAATGTTCAGTGTGTACTTGAGAAGAATGTCTATTCTCTTGTTCAGTGGAGTGTTTTATAAATGCCAATTAGATACTGTTGGTTGACCTTGTTGTTCAGTTCTTCTATATCCTTATTTATTTTCTGGTTACCAAGAAAGAGGTAGGTTACCAAGAGAGGAGTCTCGAAGTCTCAAACTCTAATTGGGGATTTACTCATTTTTCCTTTTAGTTGTTTGTATTTCACGTATTTTGAAGCTCTATTGTAGGATTGCTGTGTCTTAGTATCATTATTATATGATGCCCCTTTTTTCCTGACAATTTTTTTTTAATTTTTATTTTTTTAGAGATGGATTTTCACTCTGTCACCCAGACTGAAGTGCAGTGGCGCCATCATAGCTCACTGCAGCCTGGAACTCCTAGGCTCAAATGATCCTCCCACATCAGCCCCAAAGAAGTTGAAATTCCAGGCATGAGGCACTGCACCAGGCCCTGATAATGTTTCTTCCACTGAAGTCAGCTTTGTCTAATATTAATATAGCCATTCTAGCTTTGTTTTTATCAGTGTTAGAATCGTATTCTTTTCCTTCTAATCTACATATGTCCTTACCTTTTACTATTTTCTTTTTTTTTTTTAAGAGACAAGGTCTCACTTTGTCACCCAGGCTGGAGTACAGTGGCATGATCATAGCTCACTGTAACCTCTAACTCGTGGCCTCAAGCGATCGTCCCACCTTGGCCTCCCAAAGGGCTGGGATTACAGGCATGAGCTGCCACACCCGGCCCTTTTACTATTTTTTTAACAGCTTTATTGAGATATAATTCACATACTATATTATTCACCCATTTAAAGTCTACAATTCAATGATTTTTCATATATTTACAGTTATGCAACCATCATCACAATCAATTTTAGAATTTTCCATTACCTCCCAGAAGAAGCCCTGTGCCCATTAGCTGTCATCCCCCAACCGCCCTATACTATCCCCTCACACCCAGCCCTAGGCAACCACTAATCTACTTTCTTTCGTTGTAGATTTCCCCATTCTGGGCATTCCATAGAGAGTATTATACAGTGTGTGCTCTTTTGTGTCTGGCTGCTTTCACTTAGCATAACATTTTCAAAGGTTCATCATGTTGTAGAATGAGTCAGTACTGCATTCCTTTTTATGCCTGAATGTTCTGTCATATGGATATACCACATTTTATTTATCCGTTCATCAGTTGATGGACATTCGGGTTGCTTTCACTTTGGGGCTATCATGAATAATGCTGCTATGAACATTTCTGTACAAATTTTTGTGTGGACATATGTTTTAATTTCTTTTGGGAGTAGAACTAACAGGTCATATGGTAACTCTGTGTTTAACTTTTTCAGGAACTGCCAGACTTTTGCAAAGCAGCTGCATCATTTTGTAATTCCCACCAGCAATGTATGAAGCTTCCAATTTCTTCACATCCTCACCAGTACTTGTTATTGTCTGTCATTAGTTACAGCAATCCTAGCAGATGTAAAGTGATATCTCATTATGGTTTTTATTTGCATTTCCCTCATGACTAGTAATGTTGAGCATTTTTTCATTTTCTTATGGCCATTTCTTCTTAGGAGAATTATCTATTCATGTCCTTTGCCCATTTCTCAACTGGGTTATTTGCCTTTTCATTGTTGAGTTATAAGATTTCTTTATATATTCTTGATTCTAGGCAGTCAGATAAATAATTTGCAAATTTTTTTCCTCATTCTGTGAGTTGTTTCTTTACTTTCTTGAGAGCTCGTTCAGAGGTTTTAGCAGGGGAACACAGATACTCGTATACCCTTGACTGAAGAACAGTTCTCCTCTATCAGGGAGGGTTGTCCTCTTTGACCAAGCCTGCAGCTTCAGGAGGGAAGCGCATGGAGCAGTGAGGGAGGAAGGGGACGCCCACCTAGCCAGCCAGATCAGCCACGTCAACCCTAGGGTGACAGATACCACAGCCATATTGCCCTCACATCCTGTTTATTTTCTTAATGGTGTCTTTTTGAGCATAAAAACTCTTAATTTTGATGAAGTCCAATGTATCTATTTTTTTCTTTGGTTGCTTTTTTTTTTTTTTGAGACAGAGTCTCACTGTGTTGCCCGGGCTAGAGTGCTGTGGCGTCAGCCTAGCTCACAGCAACCTCAAACTCCTGGGCTCAAGCGATCCTCCTGCCTCACCCTCCCGAGTAGCTGGGACTACAGGCACGCGCCACCATGCCCAGCTAATTTTTTCTATATATTTTTAGTTGTCCAATTAATTTCTTTCTAATTTTGGTAGAGACGGGGTCTCGCTCTTGCTCAGGCTGGTTTCGAACTCCTGAGCTCAAACAATCCGCCCGCCTCGGCCTCCCAGAGAGCTAGGATTACAGGCATGAGCCACCGCGCCCGGCCCACTGTGCTTCTTGATTTGTAAGTTTTTATCTTTTTTCAAGTTTACTGACTCTATCCTTTGTTATTTCCATTCTATTATTGCACCCACCCAGTGGATTTTAAATTTTGGTTATTTATCAGTTCTAAAATTTCCATTTTCTTCCCCTTTATATCTTCTGTTTCTTACCTGATAATTTCTGTCTTCATTTTAAGAATGTTCAATACTTTTTGAAGGCTGATTATAAATAGCTGCTTTAAAGTCTGTATCTGATCATTCCAATATGTGAGTCATCTCAGTGTGGGCATCTGTTGATTATTTTTTCTTCCATGTTGAGATTTTCCTGGTTTTCATACTCTGAATTATTTTGGATTATATCTTGGATATTTTGAATATTATATTGAGACTTTGGACCTTGTTTAAATCCTAAAATAGAATGTTGATTGTTTAAAGCATTTGCACTACTAGTCAGATTAGTCCTGTGCCTCCACTGGTCAGCCTGGGACCTGTGGTCAATCTGGGACCTGGACCACATGCACAGCTCCGCAGCAAGCCCACAAATTCACATGTCACTCTGTTGGGTCACTCAACCATTTCCCTCTCTACTCTCCCTGACACTGGACAGTTCCCTGGGGCCTCCCTTCTAAGACCTCCAGCCAGAAATCTGAGGCTTTCTCTTCCCTGCCCTGCTGCACACTTCCTCCAGCTGCATCTGGGGCCCAGTGCAGGAGGGCAGGAGAGGAGCCCCAGCAGGTGGTTGTCCCATATTCTTGGGGCCATGGCTCCTCCAGTTAGAGGGTAGGGCTTCCCTCTCAAGTTTCAGGTGCCTGCCTGGCAGATGCTGCTGTCACTGTCACTGCTGCCACCTCGGTGTGATTGCCCAGGAGCTGGGATGGGGAAGAAAGAAAAAAGTGAGGAGGATTCTTTCAGCTTTCTGATCTGTAGGGACTTCATTTCTTGTTTCCTGGACACACATTCTCCTGGAGCCCTTTTCGTCCCCACTTGGTACACTTCAGGTTTCAAGCTGCCTTTGTGTCCAGGCTGGGCCATATTGGAAGAAAAAAATGGTGACCGCCCCTCTGTTCCATGGAACTTTGAATCTGATCTCCTTTGGGCTGCCCCTGTGTCTGTCCAGGACTGATGGTGGTCAGTGGGAGAGACCGTCCTGTTGACTCAGCAGCCCTCCTCACCGCCCACAGTGCCACACCTTTCTGCATGGAGGCCCCGAGGGCAGGGCCTTGCTTTTCCCGCTGCTGTGCCCATTCTGGAAAGCCCTTGCACACCAGAGAAGCAAAGAGCTAAGCCAGAGCTAAGGCTCAGAAGCTGGGGCTCAGTTCCCCAGCCCCGAGCTCTTCCTTGGGCTCCCCCTGCCTTCTCAATACTCCTCGCTGGGTCAGCAGTGAGGCCGGCATCTCCCCAGTCTCGGGGCTCCCTGCCGCCCCTTCTGCACCCAGCCCAGGCTGAGCAGCCTTGTTCTCACCTGACCCAAAGCTGTCAACCTCCCCCAGGGCATTCAGCTTCTACTCCTGCCGCTACACAGCTGCCAGTGATTTTTAAAATATGACCATGCTTCAAACTCTCCAGTGACCACTATCAGGACACAAAGCCCACCTCTATGCCATGCACCCCTGATGGCCACCACCCACAGGCCCTTTGCTGCTTCCGGGCTTTGGTTTTTGCTGGCCCTCTGCTGGAATGCTCTCCTCGTAGGACTCATCACAGCTGAGTCCTTTGCATTCTGTTTCTACTCAAATGTCACCTCAGAGGGACAGTCCCTGGCCTCAATAAGTATAGATTTGTAGCAGTGAGAACTGCCTGTGGCACTGCTAGGGGGGTGGGTTCCATCTGCCAGCCTTGGGGTCTCCCCAGCCCACAGGAAGTTCTCCCAACTCTGCCCACTGGGACTCTCGTGCCAGCCTTGGGGTGCAGAGCCTCAGCTTCGTGGGCCCCAAACAGGGAGCCTCTCCCCAGCTGGGCCAGTAAGGATGGGAGGGAGACGTGTTGAGGGTGTCTTGCACTTTCAGGTCCAGGTCTCAGAGTGGTGGCCAGCCCCTCTGCTGGCCTCCCACCTGCCCTCTCCTGTTATCAGAAGCATGACAGGTGAGGGTGAGGCCACTGGGGTAGGGAGGGAGGAGGAGGGAGGCCCTGGACGGGACCTATGCCCAGGGGTCTGGCCAGGGCCCCCTCATGAGGGCCGCAGCTGCAACCCCACTCCGCATCATCTCCTCCCACCTGTGCTCCAGTGGCTCTTGTCCCCAGCCTAAATGCAGAAGTCCTCGGCCTAGACTTGACTCCACGCCACCCTGCCCCACCCCCTTCAGCCTATGTTCGGGCATGACTGCTAAGCCGAGCATGTCCCTAACAATCAGTACCTGTGATGCTCCTTAGACCCGTCCCCAGAATGTGGGAGGGCCCCTCGGGGACTTGAATCTTGGATTTCTTTTTGTCAAGGTGGTTTCAGCTGGGAGGAATGAGCATGGCTTAGGCAAGAACAGGTAGGGTGAGAGTCTGTGGCAGGTGTGGACAAGAACTTGACGAAGGGACCCCAAAGAAAAGGGGACCCTTTCCTCTTGGATGTCCCAGAAACCCAGCTCAGCTCCAGTGCCTTACCCATATTGCTGCCTGATAGCCTCTCCCGCGAGGCCGGACCTTTCTCCCCAAAGCCTTGGTCTGCTGCTCTGTCCCAGCCTGGCTGCCAGTCACAGGCTCCTGCAGGGCCCAGCCTGTGGGCAGGGCTGGAGCAGACAGAGCCTGCCAGGGAGCCAGGGAGGGAGTCAGGATGTCTGAGGAAGGCCTCCACCAATACACAGCCCTCTACTCCAGGTCGAGCAGAGCAAAACCACTGGGGGACCCTCCTGGCAACTCACATGTATGCATGTGCACACACAACATACATGCATTGCAGACAATGAATACATGCACATGCACTTACGTGGATACAACACAGACACAATGCAGAGACACACGAGTACACGTGTGCACATAGCACAGGTGTGTGGTGTATACATGCACACATACACATGTGCACACATGCAACATATGTGCGTGTGTGGACACACAACATAGACCTACACACATGCCTATGTGTCACACACCCCTTGGCTTCCCTTAACGCACTAGTTTCCTTAGTGAGATGCAGGCTTGTCCCCAGTCGTGTTGAATGACCAGGAGAAAGGGGTTGGGATTTTTTGTGCCCGTCTGAGCAGGGAAGAGCTGATGCGGCCACCGAGAGTGGCGACCTAAAGGAGTCTGCCCCTGGAGAGCCCCCTGCTCCTGTTCCTGCTGCCCCTGCCTTCCCCAGCCCTGCTCAGCAGCCCCATCCAGCCCGAGCTCTGGGCTGGTTATGGACGTGCCACCTGAACCCAGGCCAGGGGCTATTTTAGGTACAGCTCCTTGGCCAGCAGCCCCCTCTACCAGCAGCTCTTCTTCTGGCCACCTGCCGCCTGTCAGGCCTGGAATGCTGATTGGCAGTTGGCAGGGGTGGGGGCTAGGGAGAGACTGTTATAAAGCTGGGGGTGCCAGAGAGTAGCTGTCCCCGTCCAGAGTCCCCGTGGTCCCTGCTGCCATCATGGCCACCCACCACCGCCTTGTGATGGTCCGGCACGGCGAGAGCACATGGAACCAGGAAAACCGTTTCTGCGGCTGGTTCGATGCAGAGCTGAGTGAGAAGGGGGCCGAGGAGGCCAAGCGGGGAGCCAAAGCCATCAAGGACGCCAAGATGGAGTTTGACATCTGCTACACATCAGTGCTGAAGCGGGCCATCCGCACCCTCTGGGCCATCCTGGACGGCACGGACCAGATGTGGCTGCCCGTGATACGCACCTGGCGTCTCAATGAGCGGCACTACGGGGGCCTCACGGGCCTCAACAAGGCAGAGACAGCTGCCAAACATGGGGAGGAGCAGGTGAAGATCTGGAGGCGCTCCTTCGACATCCCACCGCCCCCCATGGATGAGAAGCACCCCTACTACAACTCCATCAGCAAGGTGGGCTGCCACAGGGAGGCTGCAGGGTTGCGAGCCGGGGTGGGGGGCCAGCAGCGTCTGGCGAGGGAACAGCAGTTTCCTGTGTCCCCCAGGAACGGCGGTACGCAGGCCTGAAGCCCGGGGAGCTGCCCACCTGCGAGAGCCTCAAGGACACCATCGCCCGGGCCCTGCCCTTCTGGAACGAGGAGATTGCTCCGCAGATCAAGGCCGGCAAGAGAGTGCTCATCGCGGCCCACGGGAACAGCCTGCGGGGCATCGTCAAGCACTTGGAAGGTGAGGCCCATCCTTGGAAGGGGAAGGGGTGTGCGGGTGGACGCAGCAGGGTCGACAGCCCTGACTTCTTATTTTAGCAAAAGTTCCCACTGCCTGACTGAGGCAGCCTTCCAGATACGGGGTTTTCAAACTGTCCACTGACCGGGGGAAGGTTGAGAAACCATTTTAAAAAGTTTTGTGAAGCTTTTGCTTCATTTCTGTGTGGGACACCATGTCCATGCTTCCTTCTGCAGGCTGTGGGTGAAAAGTCTGCACAGCACTGACCGCCCCCACCCTTGGGCCTGCCTCCCCTGGGAGGCAGCTAGCCGTGGTCAGAGGTGGGGCTGGTTCCGAGGGTGGAATCTTGCCTAAGGACACCCAGCCAGGAAAAAGAGAGGCCCCACCTCAAAGCATCTGCCCCCAGATCCTGGTTTACAGTGGGATCCTGGACAAGCCACTTCAGCTGCTGGGGCGGCAGGAGCTCCCTGGCTCCTCCTGGTACTGCCTCTTGATGTGGGGCTAGAACCCCTGCACACACCCCCACCATCCTCCTCCCCACAGCCTCTCCGGGAAAAGGCAAGACCAGTCAAAAGAGGGGTACAGTGCTATAGAGTGGCCAGATGCCCCGACTAAAAAGCAAGGGCTGAGAAATGGGCCTGGGGCAACAGCACGGGGAGGCCCCACCACAGCGCCTGGCCCCTCCACCCGCTAGGATCCTCAGACGCCAGGGCAGTCTAAGTTTAGCATCTGAATGACCTTCAGGTTTTGCTGGGATCCTAGAACAGCAAGAAGGAGCAGGGTGTGCCCCAAACCTCTTGCTCCTGAGGGCTGATGGGAAGCCAGCCAGCCCCGAGTCTGCCAGCTCTACCCACAGACACCTGGCACTGGCCCTGCCGCCTCTCCCTTCTGGGGGCTTCACTAGCCCCATGTACCTCTCACAGCCTGGGCTGGGGGAAGGGGATGCACCACGATGAATGCAATGGGATTTCTCTGGGAATCAGGGTGTCCCTCACTTCCCAGAGAATATCCTCCTAAGCCCTTCTGCACAGAGGGGGTGGGGTGGTGTGAACACGAAAGGTCGAGCTGCTATTCCCAGCACAGGGGCTGCAGGAGGCTGGCAGGATCAGGTTTCGACCCAGCATGGCCTCCCCAGCTCCTCGGCAGGCCTGTCTCCCTGTCCCTCCTCCAGCCCCGTTCCTCACTCCTCTGCTCAGGTCTAGAATTGAGGACAGCCTGGAAACCAAATGGCTGTTTTTCCTAACCCTCAACTTCAGTCTGGCCAGGGTTCGCCCTGGACTGAGGAGTTCGGGGATGGCACCACCTCAAGTCACAGCCATTCAGGCAGGGACAGTCTCCGTTTGATTTACCACTGGCTATTTCTTAGGCTCTTGGCCCAACTCAGTTTTGCCTTGACCAGTTGGTACATTTCTGTGGCTTCACTCTCAGGGCTGGGAGGGCTGATGCCAGGTGGACGGGCTCTGCAGCCCATAAAGATCACAGCATCGGCTGCACGGACAGGCTGGGGGCAAAGGGGCTAAGGACGCCTGTTCCTCCTGTCCAGGGATGTCGGACCAGGCTATCATGGAGCTCAACCTGCCCACGGGGATCCCCATTGTGTACGAGCTGGACCAGGCACTGAAGCCCACCAAGCCCATGCAGTTCCTGGGTGACGAGGAGACTGTGCGGAAGGCCATGGAGGCTGTGGCTGCCCAGGGCAAGGCCAAGTGAGGGGTGGGCTTTGGCAATAAAGGCACCTCTCCCACTGCCTGGAGTCAAGTGTGGCCAGGCATGCCAGGGTCTCGGGCTGGCTCCACAGGCCTGGCCTCTGGGGCCTGCCCTGCTCACCCCCACCATTAGCTGCAGGGACTAGGGGTACAGCTATCCCCCCAAGCCCACGTCACCAGGGGGGCAGGAACCCAGTGCCCATCCCTAGTCATCAGGCAGCTGAGCCAGGGCTGCAACCCCCCAGAAACCTGCACTCTGGACAAGCCCCTGGGGTGACCCTGAAGCTTCAGAGCCATTTGGTAACCACGCTCTAGAATCAGTGTGCTTGGGGCCACTTAGAGAGAAGAGGCCAAGAGACCCAGCCTCCCTGTGGGGAGCAAGGACCACAGCCAGGACACCACTTCTCTGTCAGCTTCCTTCAAAGGATGGGTGCTCCTCTGCTGTCCCTGTAGCCCCCGGGGTGGCACCTTGAGCCCCACATCCTAGATGGGACGGACAAGCCCACAGGGGGTCTCAAAGCCAGCAACACTCCAGACTCATGGGGCTTCCACAGCCTGGGAGGATTGTGGCGGGGCTGCCATCGCCATGGGAAAGAGACCAGGAAGCCCTGGTAAGAAAAGCGAGAGGCCTAAAGGGGGCAGGAAAGATGGGAGGAGGGGTTGGGCTCAGCCACCACCTGGGGCCAGCACACACTTCACCCCAGGCTGCTGGCAGGTGAGGCTGGGAGTTGAGCGTGTCTGCCTAGCACTTCCCAGGCACAAGAGGGACCCTAATTCCCCAGACGCTCGGTGGATGCCAGGCGCCTCACTCCATATCCGCGCACTGTCCCTCATGGGCAGAGGCTCCCCGAGGCAGGTAGCAGGGCAGCCCTCGGCCCCCTCCCAGAGGAACTGGAACAAAGGAAGGCTCCAGCTCCAGTCACATTGTAACGTTTCTGCCTCTTCCTGGTAGCTCATCCTCGGCTCATGGGGCTGAGGGTGCGTGTGCACACACACGTGTGTACGCCCTAGGCACGGAGCAGGCGGACACCCAGGCAGGGGTGTTTCCATTTGGGGGCATCCAGGCTATACCAGGGCAGCTCAGAGCTGGGAGCCCGTGTGAACCAGACTGGCAATTCTTAGTCCAAACGCAGACTGTTCAGAGACACAGATGGGCTGGGACAGAAAACAGCGGGCAGACAACAGGCAAAGGCCACTCTGTGTTACTTTTCCTGAAGCCAGAGGCAGCCGAGGTGCACACCGGGGCAGCAGTGAGGAGCCACATGGAAGAGCACATTGTGTCTGTTGTTTTCACATACCCAGAGATGGGAGTTTGGTTGTCCCCATCCCCACTTCCCACAGCCTAGGCAGAGGGACGGAGAAATGGAGCGGGGAGCACCAAGCGGGCTCCAGTAAGATGACTTCCCTGCTACCAAAACCGTCACGATCCACTCTGACTTTCGTCACAAACTCTGCTAAAGCAATTCTCTAAGTTCACTGTTTCCAAGGGTCATTCTGAACAGCCACCACCCCTTACAAGCATGAGAAAAAGAAAAAAGGCAAATGTAGAAGGCAGCCTGGAGCCTCCAGACGCCCCTGCTCAGAACTCCTGTCCCCAGCTTGGCAGCAGACACTCGAGGTCACAGGGGGGCTGGACACAGGCGGCGCTTGGCTCAATATCCTGTTGGGGTCAAGGGCCAGGCTGCCTGGGAGGGCCTGGGAGGCTGCAGGAAGGATGTCTGGGAATCACCAGGTAATTGCTGCGTTTGGAGTGACAGGCTGAGCCACCCAAGCCAGGGGGAGCCCCGAGGCCCCATCTTCATTAGGGACCCCATTCCTGAAAGAGTGCCGAACCTAACTCTCAGGCCTCCTCTTCCAGGAATAAGGAAGCCATGTCTGAAAGGGAAGGGAAGGACAGGCCCCCAGCCTCACTCGATGAGCTCCACGTAGTTGGCAGGGAACATGCCAAAGTGGCCATCTGGCCCATAGCCACGCCACCAGCCTTCGTCGATCACCTCGATGCCTGTGATGAGGTTCTCAGGGTCAAAGGAGATCTCTGTGTCATCGGCTGAAAGAAGGTCAAACCCAGTTGCTGCATCAGTGGCTCCCTCCCACAACCCGACCCCTGAGCCCCGCGTGCTCAGGCAGCCCCCAGCAGACCTCACTGCATTCCGCTTCCTCCTCGGAAACATCCCTCTGCCATTCCACTAAGCCTCTGCCTAAGTGGAGCAGCACCAATGACCACTGCAGGGGTGACCACACCCCCAGGGTACACCTTCCCACAGAATTCCCGCAAAAGGCTGCAGTAGATGCCACCCACCAGCCTGCTCCGTGGAGAGCCTCAGTCCTCTTCCCCAAGACCTCCACCCAGGGATGCCCGGGGAACCAGCGTCCAGGCCTGGCCCACCTCCCCGGTCAGACCTCCAGGTTCTACAAGGATAGCAACTGGGATTCAAACATAGGGAGGCCTCAGCTGTGTGGGTTGGATGCTCCAGTGCCAGTCATCAACACGCCAGAGGTGCTTCCACCCCTAAATGCACCTCCCACTTTCCTGTCTTCTTGGTGCCATCCTCCAACATAGCCCCAGATCCTCTTGTCTCCTAACCTGGGGACCCTGTGGTCTGTGGCAGCCAGACTGGGACACCTTACCTGCCTGGTAGTCGTACAGGGCCCGGGCACAGAGCCCTTGCCCACTGAGTCCCTGGCCCTGCATGTGATGGTCGATATGCCCAGAGCCAGCACCTTGCTGCTGCACCTGACCAGGGATAAGAAGATGTTACCCCAGACTCAGCCTTGACACTGGATCCCTGCTTCGTGTGGCTCAGGTCAAGATGGGAGGACATGGAGGGAAAGCGGTCTGTGGGCTCAGGGGCTGCTGCTGTCCCTGTCCCATCCCTGGGTACAGAAGTCACAGAACAGTTGCAAATCCCCAGCCATGGGCCACAAGGTGCTCTCCCCACCCAGCATCTCCCATAGAGTGGCATTTGCCCAGATGACTTATGGCACAGGGCTGCTCCAAAAATTAATCAAGATAATTCACATGTGCTTTAAAGCCCGTAGCATGCCCCAGAAAACGCAGGCATAGCATGATCAGTGTTCCTGAGTGTGCAGCCCCTCCATGGTCCCACCTCTACTGCAGGGGACTCACCAGTGGGGGCTCCTCATAGAAGTTCTCCTGCTCCGGGGGCTCCTCATACACGGCCTCCTCTTCCGCCTGCACCAGATGTGGAGGAGTGCTGGGTGCCGGCTCCTCGCAGACATCTGCACCAGGGAACACAGTAGGTCTGACTCCCACACATCCCCCTTCTCCACCATCGCTCCCCTCCAGGGTCCCCATGGGGTGACAAGTGTCATACCTGCCCTGGGCCTTGAGATAGTGGGAGTTGGCTCTCTGCTGAAGGGGGTCTCTGGTTGGGTGAGCTGCTTCTGCAGGAAGGGGCTCCGCAGCTTGCCTGCAAACCCAGGCAAACAACACATGACACCACTTCAGAAACACCACCTGGTATGTACACACACACCCTTGGTGTGCTCAAAGCAGGCCCCTGGGTCTTATCCCAGCTTGCACAGCCACAGAGACCCAGTGCTGTGTGGTGAGCTGGTAGACAGCGCAGCTCTGTGTCCCTTGGGGGCCAAAGTGGTGACCAGCACAGTCACTGACAAGGTCAAGGGCAGGAGGGGATACCTGGGCCCCAGGAGTCCCTCCTCTTTGCTCACTCATCCCTGCCACCCTCTGATACATCTTTCGCTAGCCTCGGGGGTGCCCTACATTGGCCCCCAGGGTCCCTCTCAGCCTGCCCCTGCCTTGTGGCCAGGCCCAGAGGAAGGTCTCACCTGGCTGAGGGCTGGAGACGGAGGTGGTAGACATGGCCCTCTCCTTCTGCTTGAAAATCTCCCTCGCATGTGTGGCCTGCTGACTGGCAGACTTCTAGGGGGAGCACATGTTGACTCCGACAATGGGCGATAACCTCCAATGCCCCTCCCCGGACGGCAGCCCTCAAAGGTGAGTGTGGGACCAGGAAGCAAAACACAGAAGCCAGGAGGCTCACAGGGATTCTCTTGGGACCAGGCTTCGGTCCATGCCAGAGGCTTCTGCCCTTGGCTTCCCTCTCTATTACCACCTCTGAGGTGCCCAGATTTCAATCTTCCCCAGCTGGCAACAGGGCAGCCTCTGCTCAGGTCTGGGCTGAGCCCTCAACCTGAGATCAGAAACTGCACGTGCGACTGTGACAGGCCCAAAGGAGAAGGGCATCCACATCCTACCTGCTCCTCTCTGTTCCGTGAAACCACTTCTTGCTGCTGCTCATACGTCCTGCTGGGAAGGGTGGGGGTGAAGGCACATACCCCTTGGTCATCCTTGCCTCCGTAGATGAGTGAGTGTTGGGACTGGGCCCCCACCTACCTCCCCACCTCCGGCTTACCTCTGAGGGCCACCCTGCTCCTGATAGCGCTGCTCCCGGGACGCGGCCTCACGCAGCTCCCGCTCCCGGCGCTCCTGCTCCAGCTGCCGCTGTGCCTCCTCGGCCCGCCGCTTCTCCTCCAGCCGGCGGTTCTCCTCCTCCTTCTACAGAGACAGCCTCCAGCTGAGCCCCATTGTGCCCCTTGGCCTCACCCCTGCCCAGGCCTGGGTCCCACACGCATGAGGTCAAGGGTGGGTGCCAGAGCCAGTCACTTGCCAGCCTTGTGACTTAACTCATCTAACGCCTTAGTCTGACCATCTGTACATGGGTGCCAAGGAAACCAGATGCTACGTGAGCTACATGAGGAAAACTGAGACATAGCGAGTGGTACTGTCTTCCATGTGCCTGGCACGCCCTGGGCAGCACTCACCTCAGCTTTGGCCCAGAAGCTGTCTTTGCCAACTCTTTTGATCTCAGATACAGCATTGGTTTTCTGGTACACAGAGCCCTGTGGGGAACAGAGCACTGACTAGAGACCCAGGTCCAGGGTGGAAGGTCAGGCCCACAGGCACCAAAGGTAGGGAGAATTTACTAGACTCTCGAGAGTGCAGGGGAGAGCTGCTTGGACTGGACCCGGCAGAGGCAGTGGATCCTTGTCCAGTGACCCTGGAGGAAACAAACACCAAGATGACCTGAAAGTGGCCCAGGAAATTGCCCCAACCGGGACACTGAGTCCCAGACGACACTGGAGGATCTCTGGTGGCACCTGGCCCTCATGAATGGGGGCCAGGGCAGAAAAGGCCCCTGCGATCCCACCTGCAGACTCCTGGACAATGAGCAGTTATGAGGCAGGCTCCAGGGGCCACTCCCAGAAGCTGACTAGCATAACAGCGTCCACAGGAATCACCGCTGACGCCAAATGCACGTCTGAGGACGCAGTTCCTGGCCATCAGCACCAGGGCCGCAGGCCCACAGGTGTCTCCCCGCAACTCAGAGGGGCCTGCTCTGATTTTAGGCTCTGTCCTGATGCCACCTGGAATTCCTCCACAGCAGCTACCTCCAGGGGCTTCCCAGGACGTGTTGGTGCATGGCCTTGAGGGCAGCTAGAATGTCAGAGCCATGCATCCCTGCAGAGCCCCCACGCTGACCACACAGAGCAGGCTCCAGAACGGCTAGTCCAACTACCAGGTAGGGTCAGAGGGCCACTCCTGCTCATCTGTCAGTGGGCACTCACATCTTGGGAGTTAACACCAGAGGCAGCCAGGCAGGCAGGGGCCCAGCCAGCCCAGATGCTGGGAACTGCACACTCCTGGCCCCCTGCTGGTGGGCCCTGAGCAACAAGAGGGAAGGCAATGGGCGGGCAGCACTCACCACTGGGGCCTGCGGCCCCGTGTCCTGGAAGCGGCCACTCTCTCTGTGGAAGCTGTAATTGGCACCAGAGGCCTTGGCTACCTTCTCCATGATGCACTCAGGCTCCACGTCCTCCTCAGCCCGTGCGTTGATGGTCACATGGGCCCCCTGTGACGGGAGCAGTACTTGACTTGGGCTTTGGAAGGCCAGGAGTAGATGGGCCAAACTCCTGTCAGTCTGCACAGCACAGGCCACCACTGCACAAAGGACTGGGGTCAGGGGACCAGAAGGCACCAGTCTGGCTGCTGGGAACCAAGGCTTGAGTTCCCCTCAAGGGCTCAAATAACTTGGAGCAAACCCCCTCAAACCCATCCCATCGTTTGTGAGGCCCTTGCCTCCACTGTGCTGTCCAGCAGTTCGTTCTTTAGGTGCCGTACACCCCCTGCTGCAGATCAGCAGATGGCTCAGGAATGATGTGCATGAAAAGCCTTCCTTCTAATCAATGAAAACTAACTTTAAATGCCATCTGGAAACCATAAAAGACCCTGAATAGCCAAAGCAAACCTGAGCAAAAAGAACAAAGCTGGAGGCGTCACACTACCTGATTTCAAATTATCCTATTATACAAAGCTACAGTAACCAAAACTGCATGGTACTGGCATAAAAACAGACACACAGACCAATAGAACAGAAGAGAGAAGCTAGAAATAAATCCATACATTATAGAAAACTCATTTTTGACAAAGGCACCAAGAACATACATTGGGGAAAGGACAGTCTTTTTAATAAATGGTGCTGGAAAACTGGTATCTATTTGCAGAAGATGAAACTAGATCCCTACCTTTCACCACAGACAAAAATCAACTCAAAATGGATTAAATACTTTAACGTAAGACTTGAAACTGAAACTCCCAAAAGAAAATATTGGGGAAACACTAGAGGACATTGGTCTGGGCAAAGACTTTTTTGAGTAAGACCTCAAAGCACAGGCAACAAAAGCAAAAATACACAAACGGGATCACATCAAGCTAAAAAGCTTCTGCACAGCAAAGGAAACAATCAACAAGGTGACAGACAACATACAGAATGGGAGAAAATATCTGCAAACTATTCATCTGACAAGGGACTAATAACCAGACTATATAAGGAAATCAAACAACTCAACAGAAAATATCAAACAATATGATTTTAAAAAGGGCAAAAGACCTAAATAGACATTTCTGAAAAGACATACAAATGGCCATAAACTATGTGAGAAAAAAAATGCTCAACATCACTACATCAGGGAAATGCAAATCAAAACTATAATGAGGTATCATCTCACTCCGGTTAAAATGGTTATTAAAAGACAAAAAATTAAAATTGCCAGTGAGGATGTAGATAAAGGGCAATTTTTTTTTTTTTTTTTTTTTAAAGACATAGTCTCGCTCTGTTGCCTAGACTACAGTGGCGTCATCACAGCTCATGCAACCTCAAAATTCCTGGGCTCAAGCGATCCTCCTGCCCCAGCCTCCTGAGTATCTGGGACGACAGGCGTGTGCAAACAGGCCAGCTAATTTTTCTATTTTTTTGTAGAGACAGGGTCTCGAGCGTGCTCAGGCTGGTCTCAAACTCCTGGTCTCAAGCAATCCTCTCACCTTGGCCTCCTAAAGTGCCAGGATTACAGGTGTGAGCCACCGTACCTAGCCAGGGGAACTTTTATATGCTGTTAGTGGGAATGTAAATTAGTATGGCCATTATGGAAAATGGTATGAAGCTTCCTCAAAAACTAAAAATAGAACTACCACATGATCCAGCAATCCCACTGCTGGGTATATATCCAAAAGAAATCAGTATATCAAAGAGATACCTGCACACCCATGTTTGCTGAGCACTATTCACAATAGCCAAGATATGGAGTCAACCAAAACGTCCATCAATGGATGAATAGATAAAGAAATTGTGGTACACATACACAATGGAACACTATTTGGCCATAAAAATGAAATCCTGTCATTTGCAGTAACATGGATGGAACTGGAGGTCATTATGTTAAGTGAAATAGCCAGGCACAGAAAGACAAATATCACATGTTCTCACTTATATGTGGGAGCTAAAAAAAGTGGATCTCATGGAGGTAGAGAATAGAATGGTGACTACCATACGCTGGGAAGGGAAAGGCGAAGAATGATGAAGAGAAGTTGGTTAGTGAGTACAAAAATACAGTTACATATAAAGAATAAGTTCTAGTTTGAGCATTTGATAGTATAGTAGGGAAATTATAGTTAATAATAATTTGTGTATTTCAAAATAGCAAAAGAAAAATGTTGCAATGTTCCCAACACAAAGATAAATGTTCGAGGTGACAAATATGCTAATTACCTTGATTTGATCATTGCACATTGTACACAGGTATCAAAATATCACATGTACCCCCAAAATATATACAACTATTATATGTCATTTTTTTTAAATTCTGAAAAAAAACTAGCATCTGGAAACAAGCACATTTTCTACAAAAGGGGAGCCATTGATTTCTTCCTGAGAAGTGACATCCATGACCTGATTCACTGGGTATACAGGTTGAGTATCCCTAATCCTAAAATCTGAAATCTGAAATTCTCTAGCGAACATTTCCTTTCAGTATCATGTCAGTACTCAAGAAGTTTCAGATTCTGGAGTATTCTAGATTTTGGATTTTTGGATTAGGGATGCTGAACCGTTAAGTATATAATGCAAATATTCCAAATATCCCAAATCTGAAACCCTTCTGGTCCTAAGCATTTCCGATAAACGATACTCAAGCTGTATACCCATTAAGCTTGGGATCTTCTCTTTCAGCTCCTAGATGGAGAAACTGAGGTATATCTGAAGAAATGTCAGAACCAGAAATCAAAGTCCTGAGTCTCCTTGCCAGTAACCAAAGAAATGCAAAAAGTCACCTGACAGGTGAACAATAAATCCCTTTGAAACAAATGTTTTTAAATTTAAAAAAGGTTCTATTATAGGACTGACACGAATACATGCAGAAATGGACTGGAAAGGAACGCATCAAAGGGAATGCGCATATTAAGGTGGCGGGCACAAGCAACTCTCCCCTTCCTCCAAATCCTCACAACACCGCTAAGCTGTTTAGAGGGATCATAAAGCAAAATGGAACCCAGGGCCCAGCGTTCCCAGTGGACCGGCTCAGCATGGTCCTTCATCATGCCCTGCTGACGCCGGCCGGCAGGTGGCGCTGGCCACAGTCCGACCACCCTTGCACTTGCCGACTGAGAGTGCAGAAGCCTCTGGTCATGCCCTAAAAGCCAGACAGAGCATCAGTCGTTGAGCACATGTCGGATTCCAGCTCTGCTCCCCCCTCACTCACACCCAGGAACCTGGGGGAGCTCAAGGTGCGAGGCCTGTCCTAAGTGGAGCGGGTCTCGCCGGGCCTCACCTTCAGGAAGTTGGCCATCGTGCTGACGTGGCTGGCGCAGGCTCCCTTCCGCACATCGTTCACGCCCTCGCCAGTCTGCAACACAAGCACGTCCAGCATGACCTTAGGTCTCCCCAAAACCCACTTCCCTCCCCTGGGGACCCAGCAGCTTCCCTATGTTCCAGAAAAGAGGAAACAGCAACCCCCACAGCAGAAGCCATTCTTCTGTGTCACACAGGCAAGGTAAGTCCCCACACCTCTAAGGGGCTTACGGACGCTCCCTGGGCAACATGGCCATCAGCTTCGACTGTGGGGGGTGCTTCCTGAGTTTTCCTTGTCCCCCTAAGGGGTTCTATTCTGCGGGAGCCCCTGTCCCATACTCCAGGTTCCTGAACATTCCCCTAAAGCCTTCTACTCCATCAGAACAACTACCCTGAAGGGGATGGGGCCAGAATTTCCCAACACTGCTTTTACTCCATTTTGCAGGACTAATTCTGGGCTTGGACGGTTAATTCTGCATAGCAAGGCCACAGTCATTCTTTGGGCTGCAACAAATTAACTGTCTATTCTGTTCATTCACCAGCTCTGAGCTGTTCTGTTGATCTACAAAGTTGTACCCGTAAAACACTCCACTCCTGAAGTCAAGTCAGAGCAGCAAAGACAATGTTGTTTTCTGGGTCACACTAGATGAGACAAGTTCCACATACCCAGTTGATGAGGACAAACTTGGGCAGGCCAGAGTTGGGGTCCTTCACTCTGCAGAAGCCGTACATCACCTTCCCACTGTTGAGCTCCTCCACCATCTCCTCCAGGCCGCCCTCTGCCACAGAGTCATGAGGAGGGTCAGAGGCAGCCCTGGCACTCCCTGCTGGCCCTGGCCCCTGGTCAAACAGGAAGGGAACTCGAGCTGCCCTAAACCAGGGCTTCTCACCCCCACCTGCATCAGAATCTTCCTGGGGACACATTTAAAATCAGATGCATGGGCCCTACCCCCACTAAACTGAGTTACGAGAGCTAGGTGGGACCCATGAGTCTGCAATTCTGACAAACACCTCAGGTGGTATTTTTACCCACGCTAATTTAAAAACCACTCCTCTAAAGCCACAAGGTGACTCTGGAAATTAAAAAATGTCACTTCCACTGCAAATCAGCCACCAGACTTCCAAAAGGAGGATCTCTATGCCAATTTTATTGTTGCCTGGACCCCACAAAGGGCCACAAAACAGTAAGGCCCATTGAGTCACCCCTGCTTGTACCTGTGCCCCCTCAGACTCCAGGGCCACCCAGATGCTTGGACCAGATGGAACGTCCTGCAGCTGCATAACTGGCTCAGACCTCACAGACTCTTAGACAGAGGAAGGGGTGATGGGGGCCCAGGAGTCGGCTGCCCTAAACCATTCTCCCCTGCCACTGAGGCTTAGCCCCCATCTTTCCCAGGTTATAGGGAGGAGGAACTGATCAGGTTTTTAGTTATAGGGCTCCACAGAACCTGGGGCAGTCGAGTCCCCACTCTGGAGACAGCAACCTGCTGCATTTGCAGCAGAGCCCTGTTCTGTGTCACTGGGGATGACAACAGGAAACTCAGGTTGCTGATGCCTGCAACTCCCAGTCACCTGCTGCATCACCTGAGTCTATCGTTCAATGGCTATCCATCTAGAGAGAGGAAGCCTCAGGGAGAAGAGGTTGTAAGAGGAAGGGGCTTTCTACCAATAACGGTCACCAAATGGTGGAGAACACGCTGCAAGCACTCACTGAACAGTGAAGCCATGTCTAGCTCAGGACAGAGGGGTCAGGCGAGCTCCAGAGGCAGAGGAGCGAGCTGGCCTTGAGGATGCAGAGCAGTCAGGGATATCAGCTGAGGGGTCCACGGGTCACACCCCACTGCTGCTGGCCCAGCCTACTCCAACAGCCTCTGCCCAATGCTGGCCAACAGACTGTCCTTCCCTGCAGAGACTCCCATAGAAGCCTTCCCTATGACCATCTGCACTGGCAATGCCTCTCCCCAGTGAGGGTGGGGCCCCTGCGTACACTTGGCTCATGGCCAGGGCAGGACAAAAGCAGAGGAGCATGTGTCTGTGGGCCTTCTCCTCTGCCAGCACGAGCCCTGGGACTGGCGTCCTCCCAGCTGCAGCTCCCTGGACACAGATTGCCCATGCGCTGGAGAGGGCCAGCCTGTTTTCCCTCTCGGCTCTCCCAAACTAGACACAGAGAAAGTGCCGCCCTCCACCCCCAGCAGAGAAAGTCAAGGAAGAATATCTTCATTTACAAATATCTGAAGCCTGCCAGAAGCAGCCAGTGAGCACTGGACGCCTCACACTATTCGGTGGACTAAGATAGCCAAGGGCTCTGGCCCCTCGTCTTGCCTGCTGCTGGTGCACATTTCAACCAGCTGAGCCAGGGAACCCCCAGTGGAGGTGAAGTAGGGTGGGTGTGCAGGAGGCAGGCCTGGGCCTATTCCCCACCCTCAGTGGGAGAAAGTGTCACTGCAGTTGAGCCGCATGCAGGGGATACCTGCGCGCCAAGTCCTTTTCCTTCCTCTGCGATAGCTGAAATGCCAGCCAGGAAGGACTGCTGACAGTCACGACCCTCTTTTTTGCACACCTCACCTTTCCGCCTTCTGTTGTCCCTGAGAGCCCATTTGGGGTCATACTCACCCCCCGTGCCAGCCACGCGGATGTCATTGCTGTTGCCTTCATAGGTAAAGAGAGCCCTGAAACAAAACACAAGTGGGCTCTGTAGCTGGCACCTTGGGTTCCGCCTGCCCTCATCACACCTACCATGGCTTCCCACCACACACCAAAGAGCCTGGCCTGACAGGACACCGTGGGCCAACACAGGCCCATTCCCACTCTGCTGACCTGCTGGGCAGGTTCTCAGGAGGCTGCTGTGTAGTCTTCTCAGCTCTAAAGCTGGGACAATGCTGGCCTGATTGACCACGGGGCTTGATGAGAGGGGAAAAGCCATGGAGACGGGGGCATATATCTACTGCAAGGTAAATACGACGTGTGCAGTTTTACAATGACTTTCTACACATTGATGTGTGAAATACTCACCTGGCCTCCAGATATATGGATTTGAAAAGACAAAACATACCTACATATTCCCAAACCCAGACCACCCAAAAGGAGAAGCAATGAGAAATACACACATCAGGCTCCATGGAAGGCTGCCCACCACGCATGTGTGTGTCTGCCCCGGCTCCCGTAAAGCCTGTCCGGTGGGGCGGCGGGTCCTTCTGGGCTTGAGACCGTCCAGCAAACACGGATTTTACAGGTTGTGTTCAGCATCAGAAACCGCAGGGGCAATGACACAACATGAAGTCACACAGTTAAAACTAGGGACCCGTCAAGCCCCTCGTGGGTCTGTGGGCAAATCTATCTATTGGAGCCTTATCTTTCCCTGGGTGACACCTGGACCATGCCTTGCTTCTCCTGTAAGACTTATTATTCATAAGAACTCAGGAAAAGATTCTGACTTTTAAACTTGTGCCCCAGAGTTATTGAGGAAATACAGTAAATTTCATTAAATCTAGGCACGGATGGTCCCTGGACCAGAACAAAGGTTACTAAAGGAGAATATTCTGGAAGAGGTGGTCTCCTGGAAATAAGCTGTGTGTGGGCTTCCCTGTAGTACACATGGAGCCAGCTGTCAGCACCAACCCTGTGGCAGTTCAACAACCCCAGCAGTGCTGGTGGACACGGGGTAAGGGCACTGACCCATAAGACTGCAAGTCAAAGGTCCAGTGTTTCCTGTTTCCCCAGGCGCTGGAGCACAGGCCTGCTAAGGCAGGCCAGATCGAAGCTCCAGGGATAAACAGTCGGATGAGAACCAAATCAGCTTCGACTTGGCTTCCCCAGACCCCTGCCAATGCCACCTGGCAGGGATGCCTATGCCTGAGAAAGACGGAAGAAATGAGACCCAGGCCCAGTGGATCTGCCTGGTAGGGGAGGAGACAGGCCACCAGGAAGAGCCACTTCCCACCAGGAGAGGCTACAGAAGGTGAAAAACACTGAGAGAGAAACACTCAGAGAAAAGGGACTAAAGAAAAGACCACAGAGAAACAAGGAGAAAGATTTGGGAGGTGGTGCACTGTCAGCCTGAGCTGGTAGAGCTCTCTGGAAGAAAGAAGCCCATTCCTCTTGATGGTCACAAAGCTGCCAGAAGACAGGGAACTGGCACGAGCAACAGGGAACAGAAGATGGCAGCTCGACCCAGCTCTCGTAAGAAGGGATCCAGCAGCTAATAAGAGCCAAGCTTGGTACCTGCCCCTAACCCTCCAACTTCATCTCCCAACCCCCACATCCTAGGTTACAGTCTAAGCCACTTACAAGAATGTTCCCAGTTCAAAGGCTCATTCCCACATTTGCTTAGAGTTCTGTCCTTCTTTCGAAGCATGAAAAAACACAGTGCCCTGGCCTGTGCACAGCAAGAAAGTATATAATAGTAAGCACCTTATGGGAGAGGGGAGGAGGGGATGGGTAAATTCACACCTAAATGAGTGCGATAGCCATGATCTGGGAGGGGCAAGCTTGTAGCTCTGAATTGGGTGGTGCAAATGCAATAGGTGTAATCCAAATGTTTGTACCCCCTTAAAAATTATGAAATTAAGCAGACACAGGAGGTGACACATGAGCCACTTGCAAACAAACCACACCAAGATGGGGGCAGGAGAGCTGATGTGTGGCTCCTTACCCCATCTGGCCTCAGGGCCTGGCCCAGTGCCCCAGCTCATTGTGTGAAACATTTTATGACCCACCAAACTGGAGATCACCTCTTCTTCCTGTAATATTCTCTGCTACTTTTTCTTTATGACTCTCAGTCCAACCTTTTTTAAAAAAAAAAAAATAGAGACAGGGTCTCATTCTGTCACCCAGGCTGGAACTCCTGGCCTCAAGTGAATCTCCCAAATCCTCAAAGTGCTGGGATTACAGGTGTGAGCCACCACGCCTGGTGCGCAGTCCATCCTTCATCTGACCATGTACTACACATAACCACCCTGAACCAGGCACTGAGGACAGAGACAGGGCCCACCTGACCCCTTCTAGTGAAGAGATAAAGGTAACAAGAAAACCCATGAGGGTTTCTGGCATGTGACTGAGGCAAGTCAATCAGGGATATGGGAAAACACGACTACAGCCAGGGAGCAGGGATCAAGGTAGGCCTGAGAAGGCAACCTTGGAGCAGAGAAGTGACGACATGGAAGAAGTGTGCTCCCACAAGAGGAAGCAGCAAGAGCAGGGGCTCTGAAGAGGAACTGCTTGCAAATTTGAGGAACAGAAATACAGCCAGGGAGTGGTAGTAAACAGGTATGGCCAGTATGACAAGAGGGAGGAGTGGCAGGATCTGGGTCACGTGCAGCAAGGAGTCTGGGCTTTCTTCAAGGTGCAACAGGAAGCCACTGCAGAGTTATAGGCACAAAAGTGACATGGTCAAGATATTTTCTCAGCTAGTGAGAAGGGACCTGCCACATAGTTGTTGAGTAACTACCTGAATGGCTGTAACAATGAGGGTGGGGGCCAGGGGTTCATGCTGAACAGTACAACCCACAGTGCTAAGGAGCCTGGGGTTTGGTGAGGGGCAGGGGTATGGCTGTCTGGGATGAGTGGTGAGTTGGGTGGGTTCTGACTGGGTGAGAGGACAGAGGAAGGTCAGCACCCTCTTGAAGGACAGAGAGTAGGTGGGGTGGGTAAGTGCCAGACCAGGGGTGGTAACAGAAAGCTTTGATAAAGCCCAAGGAAAGGCTAGAAACATGAGAGGCCTGAAGCAGGAAGCCCAAACTGCCAGGTGGGCTGCAAGGCATCATCCCCAAAGCAGTGATAGTTCCTGAGAAGACTGAGGATGAAGAGAGACCCAGAAAGGAGATTGATTAAGAGGGCTAGAAGTCTCCTAGGTAAGTCAGTAAGGGGAAGCCTCGTGATCAAGAGCATGTAAAGGAGCAAAATCCCTAATTGGGCAGGGCTGGAGAGGGGCAGAGATTCTTCTGGGTTCCAAAGCCAGGTGGCATCATATGGATCTGAAAATGGGGCACTCAGTGAGGAGATACTTTTCACAGGGTTTGAAGTAACAAGAGGGGTCTAAGGGCCCTCTGAGAATCACAAACAGGAATAGGAGAGAGGCAGAACAGACAGATGATATCTAGAAACTCTCCTGAGAAAAATAACAGCAACTGACATGTGGGTGAATTTCCTGAGGGATGATCAGTAGAGAAGGCAGAGAAATCCTACCAAGGAAGTTACAAGATATCCTTCCTGAGGTAGATGCCTCCCAAACAGAGGATATGCTGTTTGGCACAAGTACCATCTGGGGCACCCGTGGTGACTTGGCCCCAGACCTGACAGAAGAGACTCTGCAGACCCAGGCAACCAGTGTTCTGAAGCTCTTTCCCTTATGGCTTGTGGCTGAAGGAAAGGCAAAGCTACAATGTCCTCAGTGTCCCAACGGTGCCACTGTATGAAAAGCACTCTGTGCTGGGCACCAGGGAAGTGCAGAGGAGATGAGAAAATGAGACAAGTGGAGATGGCCCCTACACAAGGGGCAGACTTAGACAGGAGGGCCTCAGTGCTGACCACAGGGTGGCCTCCCCATGTCTCAGCCTCTAAGGTCCAGTTTCTATTCCCCAAGGTTGGTCATCTTAGCCCATCATTCTCAGCATATTTCTCAGAACTGGAAGTGCTCAAAACTGGTCAGAGAAAATAGTTTAAGTAAATGGGAAAGTGATAGAGAACTACCATATATGGCTGTGCATACTCGCAGACCGGAGAGCTAACCCTGTGTGGGGGTTGCCCCGGGTTATCCCAGACACTTCGGATCCAGGTTTCCAGTACTGTAAAGCCCCATCAACTGCAAGATGAGATCTACCACTGACAGCCTAGTGGGTGGTGGAGGGACGATGAGACCTGTGTCCAAATGAACAGCCAGCATCCTACTTTCACACATCTTCCCATGGCTCAGGCAGAGAAAGGAGTACTCTTCTTGGAAGTTCTGAAGTTCGCATTCACAGAGAACCAGGGACCCAGACCCCTGACCTCAGTGTCTGAAGCCTCGCATTGCCAGCCAGGCTGACAGACCTTTCTCAAAGGCCCATCCCTGAACACAGCGTTTGGAAGAAACTGGGCGTGGCTTTCGCCTTCTGAGGAGGGCTGTGCAGGACCCCTTATTCCAGGGAAGTCCCGGAGCTGGAAAGAAGAGACTGGTGAAGCCGGCACGCACAACCAGGCCGAGAACACAACATGGAAACCCGCGGAGCCGACACCGGGTGGCCAGAAGCAGGGGGAGGGGCTGGAGACTCCCTGGGTCCCCCCAAGACGGGTTTTAACCTGTCCATGCCCGGCAAGGCAAAGGGTGACGAGGGTGGGACAGCACCCTTGCTGCGGTGTGAGGCGGGCAGACTGGTTGAGCACTGGACCACCTGCGGCGGCGCCACTTGGCGCTCGCACTCCCAATCTCCCCCGCCCCCAGCTCGCCCGGACAGACCCTCCCCCCGAGAAGGCCCCCGGCCCGCCCTCCGACCCGCCTCGCCGCCCACCAGTCGGTCGGGGACTTCTCGGTGACCACCCGCCCGTAGGCCTCCTGCAGCGCCGGCCCGTTCCGGCTCAGGTTCGCCGCCATGGCCCGCCCCGCAGTCTCCTCGCCGCCGCTGCCGCTTCCGGGCCAGGCAGCCCCTGACAGCCGAAAGCCTCGCCTCCGACTACCGGAAGCCCCGCCCCGCCGGCAGGAAGCGGAAGTGGCGGAGCCAGCTGAGTCCGCGGGTCCCGGCTGCGCGTCGGAACTGCGGTTTGCGGGTCCTCACTAGAGAAACGAGGAAGGGCGTGGCCTTCTGCTCGCCCGTGGGGCGGGATGGTGGGGCCTGGTCCCACCCAGATGGCAGCTCACCTTTGGGGGCCTGATCGAGGGAACCCAGTACAACTCCCTAGTAGCTGCTGTCAGAGCACCGTGTACATTCTTTTCTAATTCTTGTCACAGTTAATGCACTTGTTTGAGAGATCTTGGATTCACCACAGTCTCGCTCCAGACGGGATGTTCCGAGCCTGCGTGCGGACCCCTAACAGAAGTTTGATCTAGGAGTGAAGCAAGCATAAATTAATGAATACACTACAAACCTAACTCAAGGTGCTTTTGTGCTTCCTGGCTCTCACCTGCATTCTTCCCTCTGCAACTTGCTTGAGGCCGGGGCTATGGAGGAATGAAGAGAACCCACATTGTGCTTCACCTCCGTATCTGGGATGGTTGCCCTCCCTGGAAGGAAGAGGCCCATAATGCCTCAACCTGCTCCCTTCCTCCAGGGAGCCCCAGTTCTTTCCATCCACAAATGTGCCTGCACTGACTGAACTAGCACCCTAACTGCATGACAGGGAAACGTGCCAAGGCCAAAGGCAGCTCACAGCTTCTTTCTCTGCCATGCAGAATAACTCCCTCACTTCCTTCAAATACAGATCCACAGGCCCTTAGGGCCAGGTTGGCTTTGGAGTTCAGTCTAAGATTTCAGAAAAGTTATACCTCGTATATCCTATATACTTTTATGTAAGCCTATCACAGGATCTGGAACAGGAACTGGTAATCAGACATGTTCATACTTCTGCAGCAATACATGTAAATAAGCAGCTAAGTGGAATGTAAGAAAACTCTAAATAACCTCGTGGCAGTTAAGATCAATTTTTGCTGCCAAATGAACTACCAGAATCTTAAGGTGTTGGGATCTAATTGTGCAGATAAGGGATCATGGACCTAATTTGGGCACAAACACTGTTCATTTGTTATGTCTATTTTTATTTCTGTTCACATCATTGTTGCTTGTTGTCTTACTTTCTGTCATGCTGCTATAACAGAATACCACAGACTGGGTAATTACATAGAACAGAAATTTATTTCCTCACTGTTCCGGATGCTGGGAAGTCCAAGATCAAGGCACCAACATCTAGTGAGGGCCTTCTGGCTGCATCATAACATGGAGAAAGGGCAAAGAGAGGATGAGGGAGAGACAAAAGGGGACCGAACTCATGCTTTTATAAGGAACCCACTCTCAAGGTAATGGCATTAGTCCATTCATCTCTCAAAGGTTCCACCTCTCAACACTGTGACATTGGGGATCAAGCCTCCAACATATGAACTTTGGGGGACACATTCCAACCATAGCACTTGTTTTACAGGCAGAAGCTCTAATCTCTGATGAAAGAGCACTTTCCTCATCCCAACCTGGAAAAGTCTCAGATCCTGGCAAAACACTCCTTCCCTTCGGCAGATCCAGTGTGCAGCCCTCGCCCTTCCTTCCAATCCATCCTGGATCTTCTCTTCCATAATGCAAGTCTCCCCAATTCTCTACTTTGACTTCACTACTGTATTTATATCAGAAAAATGAATTTGCATAAATGGAGGCTGCCCAACTCTCTCAATTTTCAATCTTTTTTTTCCCTTAACCTTCAGTAACATCTCTCCTGCCCTTGTTTTTCCCTCAGACCAGACCCTCAGGTGACTTTCTGCTCAACCCGTCCCTCTTCCCTCAATCCATATAATCTAGGGGAGTTTAGCCCTCAGTCTTATGGTTCTTCTGTCTTCTCTTTAGCTGACATATTTCTTTTTCTCTTCTTTCTCTAGGAATGTTCCTACTTAAACACCTTCCAGTTGCCAGTTTCCTTCACCCACTTGGCTGCCAGTCCCCATCCTGGGGGTCTGGGAGCACTTTTAAACATTTCAGTCAACTTGAGGAGAACCAACCCTTACCTGAAATCCTATTGTTCAGGCCAAAGGAGCAGGTCTCTGTTCTGGAATTAGATCATCTCAGTGACCAGGCTAATCCATGCTGATGAGGGAAAAGCGAGAAAAACCCAGGCTCCATGGAGAGAAGGCCATGAGGAGGGGTCTCTGGTGGTGGGACACTGGGGGAGGGGAGCATTGGAATTTTGCTTCCTGCTATAGTATGTGGGAACTAGTCTCAGCTCGACAGGCCAGAGAAGCCCTCTCTGAGGAGGTAACCCTGGAGCAGAGACTGAATGGGGGGTGGGGGTGTGTCAGGTCATGGGGAGATCTGGGAGGAAGTGTTGAGGCATGTGTTAGGGCTCTGAAGTGGGAACAAGCCTAATGGGTCTGAGGAATGGGACATGGGGAGGAGAGGGCCAGGGGAAGGGCTTTGGGTTTTATTCTAAATATAATGGAAACCCTGATGGATTTTAAAGAGGAGAGGATGTGACCTCTATATGCAGACCATCTCCACCTGTCTCTCGAACTCTGTTTTTCTTATGTTTTAGTGTCAGCTGTCTCTCTTGTTGGTTGGCTGTTCCTTGGTTTGAGAATGTGAGATGTTTCCAGAGGTCATTCTTAGGACTCCTCTCTCTTCTCTGTCAACTAATTCCCATGACATTCTTGTAAGCCTCATACTTCTATCTGGATAAAATCAGACCTGCTTTACCTCTTGATGTTCTCCTAGTAGGTGTCGATGACAGGTCTGGGACACAAAACCAGAGCCCTGAATGGTCAGTGTCCTTCACACTCCAAGGGCAGTTGACCATGTCCTAAGGGCATCTGGGTCCAAGTTTGGAGGGAGGATCCCACTGGCAGACTCCCTCTGGAGCCCACCATCTGGAAGGATTGGCATTAAGAAAACGAACTGACTGTTCTGACAAGCTCAGCAAGGCCAGTAAGAAAGATTGCTCTTTATTCAAAGTATTCATCAACAGAAATGTCAGCATATTTTCTTAAAAACCACCAGATTACATTTCTCTGTTCCAGCTAGACATAGCCACATTAACTATAAAGTTAAAGAAATAAAAAAAATAGAAATAAAATCATTGCCTTTCCTACCCTAAAAAGAAAATTTGTTTATCCTACATGGTAAGTGGAATCCACTTACACAAACGTTGCACATCTTGAGAGATTAAAAAACAAAAACATCTCTTCTGGGTCTTTGTAATAGGGGAAAAAAAAACCCCAAAACAACAACAAAAATCTTAAAAGATTTTTTAAAACAAAACCAAAAACAGCTGTCCTAGCTGGCTGTGGTAGCACGTGCCTGTATTCTCAGCTACATGGGAGCCTGAGACAGGGTTCAAGTCCAGGAGCTCAAGGCTGTAGTGAGAGGATGACGCCTGTCAATAGCTACTGCACTCCAGCTTAGGCGACATAGTGAGACCCCATCTCTAAAACAAAACAAAACAAAACAAACCCTACAGCCTTCCCAGTTGAATCCCTGATACGATCTGAACAGAAAATACAGTCAATGGCAGGGAGGTGACAGGGTGTGTAGCAGATGAGGCTCTGGTCCTGACCCGTCTCAGACATATGGGAAGTGGCCTTTGCTGAATGAAGTGCTCCCTCTGCCCGTAGGGCCCTCCCTCACTGTCCATCCATCAGGACCGAGATCTACCTCTCTCCTGAGGTCTTTTCCACTCTTGCACGTTCCTCTAACGTGTTCCTCCCAGGCTCTTTTTTGGGTTTTTCCAAGCCTTCCCTGAATACTCACCAGAGGCTTCCTGGGAGTTGTTTTATTAATAGGTCTCCTCAGTTGGCTCCCAGAAGCGTCCTGTGTCAAGTGCTTTTTTTTTCCTTTTGTTTTTAATTGACATGTAGTAAGTGTACATATTTATGGGATAGTGATATTTTGATACATGTTTACAATGTGTAATGATCAAATCCGGGTAATTAGCATATCCATCACCTCGAACACATCATTTCTGTGCTGTGAACATTTAAAATCTTCTCTTCTAGTTTTTTGAAAATATACACTAAATTATTGTTAAACATATTAACCTTACAGTGCTACAAGCACTAGAGCTTATTCCTCCTCCCTAGCTGTAACTTTGTATCTGTTAACCAAACTCTCGCTATCTTCCCCTCCCCCACCTCTAGTAAGCGGAATTCTACTCTCTACTTTCATGAGCTCATTTTTTGTTTTTTAAGCTTCTACGTATAAGTGAGAATATGTGGTATTTATCTTCTGTGCCTGACTTATTTCACTTAACGTTGTCCTCCTGGCTCATCCATGTTACTGCCACTGACAGAATTTCATTCTTTCTTACAGATGAATAGTATTCCACCAGTTACATATGCCACATTTTTGTTCATCTATTGGTGAACATTTAGCTTGATTCCATATATCGGCTATTGTGAATAAAGCTGTGATAAACATAGAAGTGCAGGAATCTTTTTGGTAAGGTGATTTCTTCTACTTTTGATAATTACCCAGTAATGGGATTGCTGAATTGTATGGTACTTCTATTTTTAGTTTTTTGAGAAATCACCATAGTGTTTTCCGTAATAGCTGTATTACTTACATTTCCACTAACAGTGTATAAGAGTTTCCTTTTCTCCACATCCTAGCCATCATTTGTTATTTTTGCCTTTTTGATAATAGTTATCCTAACTGGGGTGAGATGATATCTTGTTGTGATTTGCATTTCCCTGATGATTAGTGATGTTGAATATTTTTTCATGTTCCTGTTGGCTAGGTGGGTGTGTTGGCGCATGCCTGTAGTCCCAGCTCCTTGGAGGCTGAGGCAGGAGGATGGCTTGAGCCCAGGAGTTTGAGTTTGCAGTGAGCTGTGATGATGCCATTGCACTCTAGCCTGGGCAACAGAGTGAGATCTTGTCTCTTTTTATGTTTTTGACTTAGTCTATTTTATGTTAAGTATAGCTACTCTTACACACTTCTAGTTTCCATCTGTTTGGAATATCTTTTTTCATATCTTCACATTCAGTCTATGT